TTAAAATAAAAATAATTTTCAAACAAGTTTAACTACAATATATCGCGTTTTAAGCCGTTAAAGAGTTTCAATTAAATACACACTACACTGACTGAATGACACACAACACCGCACTGAATTATTTGAAAGAAAGATAGATTGACTATTCAATCAGTCAGAGTCAAATCACAATGTCTAGTTATTGCACGCTAGAATCAAGCTAGAAGAGCTAATTGAAATAAAACGGTTTAAAACGCGATATATATTAATTAAAGTAGAAATATATTTCGCGTTTAAACCGTTGAACATGTTTTATTTAAATGTGCACTACTCGCGTAAGCTACAAACAATGAGAAAAAGCAAATGGCATAGTGAGGCAAGAACGATATTCAATCTGCGACTACAGTTGTTTATGCTTGTTTTTTCACCAAGAAAACAGCTACATTTCACAATAGAGAATAGTGTCACTTCTTTTCAATAAGCTGTTTTATTTCACACCTAACGGCTGTGTTGCCATTTTATAACAAAGGAGTATTCACTTTAGAATAATGTGACCGTTTCCCGCAATAAATATTTTATCTGTGGAGTTTTTTTTGCTGGATTTCGAGTTTTGGTTCTCAAAAGTTTGGAGAGCATTTACGTCTGATGACATTCTACAAGATCTCATATGATGCGTTATCGACTTATCTTAGCATTTAACATTCAAAAAATACAGTAACCAAATTAAGACTCCTATCTGTGGTTTGTGACATGGAGTTCAAATTATTAACACCAGTTATCTCGATTTACAAACATGACCGTTGGGATGCGAACCCACTAACTGTTGGTTATCTATTCTAATATTATAAAGCGTCTGTTTGATTAAACGCGATCTCAGAAAGTCGTCCATATAGAAAAATTGTGGTTCCTCTATAAATGGAAGGTTTTATGCTGTATTATCACGTTGCGACCAATAGGAGCGGAGAAACAATGGGAAATTGAAGGAAAAGCGGGGAAAATTATTCATCTTTGAGTCTCTCCGTTGCGTGCGCTACGAAAACGGTACAGAATTGTATGGTTTAAGTAACCATACAATTCGATGATAGAAAGATTCTTCATTATAAGGCAAAAACATATCCGCGACAGACGTCGTGGGTAACAGTTATTATTGTTTTATGACGATAAGGCGGTTTTTTGCAAAATTATAATCATATATTAATAGTTATTTACATGCCCAAAATATCTATTTCCCACGGTCAAAGTCGTGGGCATACCTAGTTACCTATATTATGCTACCAGATCGACGATATATCTAAATATTTAATAGCATAAGAAGTTCGGTATATTGTCGTGTTTGTGGCACAAAATATCATCGAAAATATTAAATCTCAGTATTTTCCGCACTTCAATAAACTTTTTTTACCTGACTCGTTGAATGTGGAAATAAATAAAGAGCGAACGAAAAGTTAGGTGATTGTCAGCAAACTGTGTCAGGGAGTGAGCCAAAGTGTCCGATTGAGAACGCTTGAACTTTTTGGCACACAATAAAATTGAAGAGCAGAAAGGTATTAATTAAACAAACATAAAAAAAGTATTCAGTTTAGAACGCGAAATACATATACGTTATAAATAAAATATATATACGTTCTAACGTATATTAGAAGACCCAATCAAAGTGCGATGAAACAGATGGCGCTAGCGTAGCAGTTTCGAAGTTCGATATGAAGAACACCCTCACCCTCCACATCTTTAGTTCTACCGTCACCGCATTTGCTACAGCGAATCCGAAGCGTTGGACGTAGTTAAATAATTATAAATAAGTTCACTAATATATTTCGCATTTTAAACGTGTACGTACGTTAAAATTCAATGAAGAACTTAATTTAAATAAAACACTTTAACGGTTTAAAAAGTGATATATTAGTTAAACTTATTTCAGAATGATTTTTAACTTCGGCCCGAGGTTTCGGATGCTTGCATGGTCACGGGGAGACAAACGAATCGTCGAAACGAGGCGAAACGTCGGGACGAGGCAAAACCGTTAAAGTGTTTTATTTAAATGTGTAGGTACTACTCGCGTAAACTATAGACAGTATTTAAGAACTTAATTCTTTGAAATTTGGTTAAAATGTCAAAAAAGACCTTTCCCATACTGACAAACGTTTTAAGGTACTATCTGTAATGTATTTACAAATCATTTCAACTCTCAAATTTATTGCATCTTATGTAATTAATAATAAGTTATACGTAAGTTATTGATAATATTCTTACCTTGGAATTATCGCGCGTTAAATTTATTTTACATAACTATTAATTTGCCTGGAAGAGATCGCTATGTATTATATAGGAAGGCCTATTACAATCAGCAGTTCATATTTCTCATTTTGTTATTGTATGTATGTATTTTTAAAAACACTTTATCAATTTATAAGTTTACGAATTCAAATGTGTAAATTGAATTTATCGAATTCCACTTTTTTAATTATAATAATAAATAAATTCAATGAATTGAAATAGAAGGGAGTTACCTCATTGTTCTGGTAACTTTTTTCCTTGTCATTGTTTTCTATTCAAGCTTTGACAAACTTTTATTATGAACGCATTTGATTTAATCTTCCCTATTGGTGTTAAAAAATGGTGAACGGCGGGCCATTGAAAACTTTACAATTAATAGAATAATAGGACTATGAAATCGACATTAAAAAGAAATGTCGAAATTGATACACCTATTATAAAAAACTTAAAACACCACCTTTAAGACCATCGCGATACCAAAAAGTCCTAAATAAATAATGAATAAATTTAATTAATTATAACTAAAATTGCTTTATAAAAAGGAATATAATTACATTGTGTAAAAAGCCTTAACGTTTTTAAGCGTAATTTTACAGACTACAATGAAAATTGAGAAAAGACGATGAAGTAGAGAAGAAGTGTGTATAAAATTTTAATACTACGAATAAGTATAAAAACCATACATCGATGAAAAATTATAGAAATAAGTCAAAACATTTAAATAAAATACATTTAACGGTTTAAATCGCGACTTAATTTTATTTTAATAATACGTAAGCTTCATTATAACTGATTACCTACGGCTTGACGTTTCGGATGCTTTGCAGCAGCCGTGATCACGTGGTGGTGGTTTTAGGAATCGAAATTACATCCAAATCACAAACCACAGTCCACAGATAAAAGGCCGTTAAGTCTTATCGAGTTTTGGTATCACTCTGTCGATTTCCGAATATGAAAGCCTAAATAAGTCGACAACACATCGTATTGAGATGTTAACCTCATGCTTGTCTGTCCTCCTCTACCAATAAAGCTAATTAAATATGTTTACAGCATTAAAATAAACGCAAAATAATTATAGACAATTCAAAAGTCAACTAAATCTAGATTTACTGTGAAAAATGTAGCTTTTAACTCTAACATTGTAAGCAGAGTCCACTCGTAATATTATTTCCCAGTTCCCAATTAAACAATCCGACATTTTGCTGGCGGAAATTTAAAACATTCTCGCCAAAATGGCACGACCCGAAATCTTGTTATATAGACATGCCTCTCGAGTGCTCGTTGTTTCACTTCAATTTTTTATTCGTTTAAATGCAGTAGCTTTTGTTTTGAATTCTTTTGTGCTCTTTTTGTTAGTTCTGATGTAATTAAAATTTAACTAGGTAACTCAATTTTTTTATCATACTGGCATAGGGTTCCCTTGATGTAAAATGTAATATTCCAGCCATATAACATCTAAACAAGGCTAGCATGCTACTAAACAAATAATTATATTATGTAGATAGTTTTAGTGTTAAAAAAACACTTTAACGGTTTAAAACGCGATACTCTCTCCCGGCTGCTACAAAGCGTCCGAAACGTCGGGCCGAAGTTAAAAATCATTTTCAAATTAGTTTAACTAATATATCGCGTTTTAAACCGTTAAGGCTTTTTATTTAAATGTGTACTACTCGCGTAAACTATAGACAGTATTTAAATGGATGGACTATTAAAATTCCGTCTGGGTATATTATATTATAGATATTTACTTCATAAAGGACAATTATTGTATAAATATAACATGAAACTCCAAGAATTAAAAGCAGATAAAATTTGTGTTTTGTATTCTAACTATTCTGTATTCTAGATGAAAACAGAATAGTTAGCCGTATTATACCTACGAAGGTATAATACGGCTGATGTAACTTGGCAAGTTTGAACAGAGGTTAGACTAACTTTGGTGCATGTACACTCGTAAAGAAAACTAATACTGCCATTTATTTTCGTTACTGGGATAAATTAAAGATTTTACCTATAGCAAGCAAAAGTAACAAACCAATAATTGATTCAAAGAGAGTAAGGGCTACGAACACTTATTGTTCACTAAATTACAGAGACAAAACAAAAATATAACAAAAGAGAAATAATAATATTACATTTAACAATAAACAATAACTTTTCAAACGGACTGCGCTCAAGACAGAGATAACGAAACTAACGCCAAGGAGTGACCGAGACACACTACTGTTTACCGAATATGTACGAAGCTTTACGAAAGACCCAAATAGAGATGTCCATGCGCGATCCTTGAGAGTCTCACTTTACAATAGTCCTGGCAACTTGAGACACATTTTCATACCTTTCTGAACGTTTCACACGAGGCCGAGAAAAAATTTAAATATTAAAAGTTTTCGATATAAAATTATAAACAAATCAAAAATACCAAATGGTAATAAAGAAAGAAATAAAAGAGAAGAAAATAAATAAAAACACAGATGTGCAGAGAGTAATAGGAAAGTTGTGAGTGCGTAAGAAAGTTATCAGTCTTTCTGTAAAATCAAAGTAATCGATTATATATTGTATAATTTAATACCTATATATTACCGGAGCATATTACACAATAATATGTCGTATGTTTTCTTCCCTGTCTCGCTTAAGACCCTTTTTTGGTACGGTTCCTGAGAAATAGTCCTAAGCTAGTTTGTAGAATACAAGTTACATTATTTCGGAGAACTCAAAATAAAATATTTGTTATTCCATTGTTTCAGAGTGGCGGAGTCATGTTTTCACCGCTTGGACGTCTAAGAGTGGCACAAGCAGTAAGGAAACAGGTATTTTGAACTTATATTTTTATCTTAAATCATTATAAACAATGTTTATTATACACACTCATTGAAACATGTTGGACTTCGTCTGGAAATCTGGATATTATATGAGTGAGCGGCATATTAAAACTCCGTCCCCGTAACGAATTACTGTATGTATGATAAAGCCTGGTTTGGTTTGATCCTGCTTTGGTTTCAGCCTGTGGATTTCCAAATATCCGAAGCCAAAATAGGTCGACAGTGCATTTTGCTTAGATAGCTATATATTATAGGCTGGGGTATTTTATCTACCACCAAGAGAATCCCACACTTGTCTGTTCTCCTCTATCATTTGACTTATTTCATAATTTATAATTAAATAGTTCGCGAGAAAGTTACAGCTCATTTTTTGTAAGAACTAAAAAAAATCCCTTTAAAATAACCAATCAATTTGAATAGGACGTGCCAACAAAGTGTTCTGTGCATATCGTAGTTTTTATCTTCTTATCGTAACTCTTTTTTGTAATCTCAAGTTTCCACTTCTTGCTATTATTGACAAAAAGACAAATCTATCACGATACAACAAAATCGCCCACCATCATAAGTGCTCTGTGACCATGGCCTGAAACCACTTAGTTAAGAATCTGTTAACAGAAATATTTCGCGTTATTAACCGTTAAAAGTATATTTCAATAAAAAAGAACCGATACCAAGTAGTATATAACTATCTAAAGAGAGAAATATAAATATTTAGAGATACGTATTTTGATATTCTTCTAAAGAAATCATCTAAAAAGAATTAAAAAATTGCTCTGAGCAACAGCACGAAACGCTGACGATGCCGGTTCAAGTCCTGCCCGAGTCGAAAATTTTTTCAATTTATTTTCGATTTTTAAATTATATAGTGCCTTCATGTGCAATAACATGTAAAAAATAATAAAGTTTTCAAACATCTAAAAAAAATCTTTATCAAATAATTTTGAAGTTACAACAATAAGAGGTCACTTATTACAATGAGATAAGAGTTTGTTTGACTTTGCTTTGCTATATTTAAACACAAGGTAGGTACTGTATACTATTAAGAAGTTCACTAAAATATCCTTCGCCCTAATCGTCAGCTAATGATAGTCGCACCCATCTAAGATCAATCACAAAGACGCTATTGTGAATCGTTAAAGAGTCCCTTCGACTGTTTAAAACGCGATATATAAGATAAACTTATTTGAAAATTATTTTACGGTTACGCGGATACTTATCAAGACTCCCCGTAACCATGGCTGCTTGAACTAATATTTACCGCATTTTAAACCGTTAAAATTATTTGAATTGGGAAGGTCCTTTTTTGAAGTCGCTTAAAAATTGGTTCATCTAATAGCATTCCTAGGATGTAGCAGTCCAGTCATAATTGGATCCTACTGTATCTAATTATGGCTTTAATGCTAAAATAACTTATCTGGCGATATGGTTTGTTTTTTTTTATTTATTTAACTAAACATAATCTACCATTACAGAAATATCTATTGATAGAATTACATACCAGCTTATTTCATACATTGATTTGACGAAGAAAATTGCTCATCATGTACATAGCGTACATGATGCGCAAATGTCTTCGAAGCCAGAATCCATAACTCAAACAGCACAAGGAATGTGCTTAATCGAACCTGTTCCAATATTTTGTCTCACTCTTGACATGTTTGGATTCCATCCAACATGAGACAAACCTATTTACATACGCCTCACATCAAACTTCTTTTCAGGTTCAGCTGAAATGGCGAATTGTTTTCCAATAAGTCTGAGATATTTCAAATATTATAGTGCTTGTATTATTAGCTTACTTGTAAAAATATTGTGTTTGTTTGTCGCAACCTGGTTATAATAATAATCACCATAATATAAATACTGTCTGTAGTTTATGCGAGTAGTACATATTTACATAGAACACTAAAGGCGGCCCGACATTTGGAATACTTTGCAGCAGCCGTGGTCACGGTGCGACTAAAGATGGAGGGTGTCTCTAACGTCAACGTAAAATTGCTACGCTCGCGTCATCTGTTCCGTCTTGGTTGGTAATTAGCGAAACTGGCCGGTTCCTTGTAGAATTGACAGAATTGAAACGTTTGGACGTAGTTAAAATGATTTTCAAATAGGTTTAACTAATATTTCTCGTTATAACCGTTACAGTGTTTTATTTATAAAACCATCATTTATCAGACCACCGACCCATTTTGTAATCTTATGAAAACAGGTGAGCACACTGAGCGCAGGTGTTCTCTCTTTCAAAAAAGAGTTTAGCTTAAGGGTTAGGTATAAACCCACAATGGTGTAGATAATCTCAGTTATTGCGTCTCAAAGACACGTTAAGGATTACAATAAGTTATAGTTTCAATAAAAAAATATTGCGAAATTTAGAGAAAACCCATTACTTTTGGTTATTAGATCCATCTGTTTGGAAATAACAAGTAAATAAAACACTTTAACGGTCTAAAACGCGATATGTTAGTTAAACTTATTTGACAATGATTTTAAACTTCGGCTCGACGCTTCGCATGCTTTGCAGCAGCCGTGGTCACGGGGAGATACAAATAGAACTTGAACACGGATTTCAAATTTTCGTCTTTTCCTTTTCGATTTCTCAAATGTTTTATTTTTAGGTTGTTATTGCTTGTCTAATGAGATTAATAAGATTCTTATCGACAACGTTCGTGTTTCAGATAAGCCAACTACCAGTGGTCAGCTCAGAAGCGACTCCGCTACAGGCCCCACTCTGCTATCAGCTAATCTGCCCTCCCCTAGCTCCACTACCTGCTTGTGCTCCCTGTGAAATCCCCCCACCGTATGCTGTGTATCCGCTGCCATATGAAAGTAAGCATAATATTATTTATTATACGATAAACTTTTAAAAGCAACATTAATTTTAGAATTCCAAGCTTACATTCCAACTTTGTTCTTGAAACATTATTATTGTCAAATGTTATTGTAGATTATGCTTTGTCAAAGATTATAAAAGGTCGATTACCCTAACAGGACTAGAACCGACAACCACAGCATTTCATGTTCTTTCTCTTACCAATTAAGCAACTGACTCACGATGGAACTAAAAATCGTCGTCGGAGTCTCATCAGCCGTCAAATTTAACCGAATCTGTAATGGTTTCTAAACATTCTTATTTATAATAGGGCACAAAACCTTTCCAGCGGCACCGGCCATCTACGGACCGCCAGCTCAATTCGCGTTAGTGCCAGCGCCATACAGCACAGCTTGCTGCGAGCCGTCGTGCTGTGCTCCCCTGGACAAGCAGCCTCGCATACCGCCGCCTCCTCTCCATCCAGCCTTCATCTATTAACTTCTACTAATTCTTTGGCTTCTTTAGCATTAAGTTACTGTAATTAAGACCTATATATGTCACCACCAATAACATTCTTTGTATTCGTTAACTCTTTTTAATCGCTGCAGCTATTTTTTTTCTCTTATATTTCCTTTGTGCTACTTTAAAGATTGGGATTTCCTAGGAACGTAGTTGGTCGCGTTTCTTTACATGTCATTCCTTCAAGTCTTCCAATGATATTATGCTCAAATATTTTGTTTGCATCATTGCGTTTGTCCGGAGTGTTTAATAAGATTACATCACAATTTTTATCAGAATAGATAACCTAAGAGCTAACTAATACATAGAAAAGCGGGACGTCTGAAGACGTCTTGCTTTAAAAACAATAGAAAGTTAAGCTAATCTAGTTAAACTATTTAACATTGGAATTGATAGCCAAGTAGACTGGCACTGTAATGCGTAAGTAACGCAGCGTGACATCCAATAAGGAGTTAGCAATGTAGAATTCTGGCGAACGTTATGATGAAGTCTTATTCTTCGAGAAGTAACTTTTGTTTCACTCCACCTTTTCATGAATGGGGGAGGGGGGGTAAAGAGCAGGATTATGGATGTGATTACGAAGTGTTCAAGAGTTAGGATTACTATCGAATGTGTTTTTGAGAATTTTGTCTACAAGGAGTGTACCTTAGTTAAAAGTATTTAAGCAAATTATAGTATCTAGCTTCACAGATAGCCACGGAAGACATGCCAATGCGAATTTTCACTAGCACCATCCAACGACTAAATCATGTATACCAATGTACTAAAGAAAGCACATGTAATAGCGACCAGCAAGCTAAAAGCATGAATCAGTACGGAGAAACCAATGAAGTCGCTAATGTTCGCACCGCCGATGTTCGTGGTGGATTTAAAAAAAACAGACCAGATAAATCTATATGGACAGTTCAGTACAACGTATTATTTATAAGTTACACGTTACATACAGTTAAATTTCAGAAAAATTTAAAAATATATTTAGCGGTGATCGAACTGCATGCAAAGATCCAAAAATTTAAATCATTATTACTTTTTACATAATAGCTTATATATATTTAAAATTTATTTTAAGTTGAATTTCCTTGATGTATCGGGCAGGAGTTGCTCCAGCTCAGCGTTATGTCGTTCTACCAATTGCGGTCGCTGGTTCGAGACTCGCTCGTGTAAAGTTTTTCAATTTAAAATAAATTTTAGATAACATTGTTGATAGCTTGTTATCCTTAAAAAGGAGTTAATTTATCAATAGCAATAACATTTCATTCGTTCCCCTAATATAGAACAAAAGACCTATTTTTTATAGTTTAGTTATAGAAAATTAATATCTGGGGTCCAAAGTGTGGTACTGAATTTTCTCTCACACAATTTCCAAGATCATTACTTGACGTTTTCACGACTAATATTTAAAAAAAACTTATTATATTTTTGCAGCTTCTTTAAAAAAAATCTCTAAACATTTAAATGAAACAATTTAACGGTTTAAAACGCGATATATATTAGTTAAAGTTATTTGTTACTACGTATTGGTTTAAATAATATAGATCGTGTTTTAAACCGTTAAAGTGTTTTATTTAAATGTGTACTAATCGCGTAAACTACAGAAAATTTAAATCACCACACAGTTTAGACGTCAATACTATACAAAAAATATAGTTATTTAATATATCTTTTGTTTTAAGTAAAATCTAATGGACACCTCACCTCGTACATTCAAAGATTCCTAATAACAACGACGTTAATTTTTTTCGATCATCGAAATTACAGTATTTTTATAATTCATTCTCTTTCGTTGACTTCTGTTGTACGCAAAAACTGAAACATAAAAACTGTGTAGCTTATGTGTTATTTAAAATATATAATGATTTAGTTCTTGGTACAACAGACTTATTATCTATATGTGTAGCTAAGCTTCAATAAGTAGTCTTACTCAAACGCTGTCAATTTACTATCTTGGACTTGTATTACTATAATATTTAGCATTTAAGTGTAAGCTATAAATTAATTTACGCTCTACATATTCGAAGTTATTCTCTGTAATTTTTAGATGACTATATATCAAATAAAACACTTTTTACCAGTTTAAAATGTAAATTGTTACTTTGTTTATAGCTTGGCTTCTAATATTTTTAGCAGGCGTGGTTCTCAGAAAATAAGGGTGTCCCTAAAGTTAACTTTGCACCTGTTTCCTCGTAAATGATATTTCCAAAAAAATAGCTATACAGATGTAACTCATGACATCTTCTTCACAATTGGTGTGTCGTTTTTATCGTTTCTTGGATGAAACGTTATTGATTTCGACTTTGCGTTTTAAACAGTCAAAAAGTGCTTTATATAATGTGTATGACTTTCGTAAACTATTGACAAACCTACTTGGGTTGCTTACTGTGTTTTATTAGCTTAGTAAAAGAATGCTCAACATCTGAATACCATTGTAATGACGAAACGTCGACACCGTTTCTCAGTTACGACGCAGATCGTCGAACAGTTCAAAAATCCAAGTACAGTTTCTAAATATCGACGAAAGCCATATACGATTTTAATATATACAAGGTTAAATATGATTTAAATGATTTCTTCTGCCGTACATAACAGTACACGTTTCAGTCTATCGCTTCGAGACTGCTCTAAATATATGCCTTTCATGTGTTCGTTGATAATTTCTACTCCAATAGCATCGTTGGTAGTTTCCTTTACCGGCATATGTTTAGAGCATTCATCTTTTTAAACTGTGGCCTAGAAGTTTACTGCCTGACATATCGATATCTAGAAATCACTACGCTACGTTCGTTGTCTGTATATAATCTTCGCTAGATAAGTATATATATCGATGAAGTAAATTAGACAATATTAATGTAACCGAATCTAGTTCTATTGTAAGTCACTTCATTACTACTATGTTAAGCGCTTAGTCTAATGTAATGTCTATCGTGGTTGTCAAATTTGAACTTTTTAAACTATTTCTACAAAATAGCATGAGCCTCTTGTTGTCGGTGTAAATTTGAATCTATTTCATAAATGTCTATTACAGTGTTGCTTGGTGTCGTGTTTCAACGTTTACAGAATTTAATAAAACTAACGTAACTTTTTCACTATTGACATTGTATAATTCCGCTTTATCGTTGTGTTGCTTCTTTGAGTCTGTGGTTTCATGAACTACGTGGGCAGTACAGCGTTACGCGTTACTTGGCTAAGCCAAATTGTTTAGTGCAATATTAAGCATAAAAGTCTAGAATTCTTTGATTTGGTTGGGTTAAATGGTCTGATCGACAGTTTGTCAGTTCAGAAATCGTAACTCATGGCAACTCGTAAAAGATACGAAATTTCATTTCTGTAAGTATCTAAAGCTATCTACTGCTTTTCGCCGAAAACGTCACAAGAAATACCGAATCAAAGAAACGTTAAAGCATTGTCGACAACGGTTCACAGATTAATAAGATGTAGTAATGTGCACCTTAACGCAAGGTGACGCGTGACGCAGTACACGACGCGCGACGTACGGTTTTTATGGGAGACATTGTTGACGTTGTTATAAACCTATAGATCTCGTCTTATCGTCATCAAGTTGGAATTCTATCCGCCGTCCTATGACGAACGACTGTTTGGTCTAAAGCCCTGCTAGGCACTTTACTCTGGTTATGGGGAATTTTAAATCCGTCGATTTTGAAGCGTAGATAATACAGGGACACAGACAATACACGTGGTTGGAGTCGGGTTAGGGTATGGACACGAGTAACGTTCGTTACACGCTGTATCGTCTTTATAGTTTGCCCATTTTTTTTGTTCTGTTAAGATCATTAAATAAGTTATGAATTGTATGAAACATGTATGTGTCGTTCGAACAAGACAAAAGAACTAGATCTTTAAATCGACTTGAATTAGTATGACGGGCGTGTTGGGGCGTGGTAATGTATGGCTAATAATCAATAGGTCCAACATTTATTTCTCATCAATATATAATTTATCTGAAACAGGTTGGACTTTGTCTGGAAATCTGGATATTAATTGGATGGTAGAAATTTTGGACACAAACTGTCTACAGATGAAAAAGCCGTGAAGCAAAATCGCGTTTCGAATTCAGTCTATGCATTTCCGAATATCCAAAGCCAAAGTAGGTTGACAGTGCATCTGATTTAGATGTTATATAGCTCGGGTATATCACCTACCATCGATTGAATCCCGTGCTTGTCTGTCGTCTACCATAAAAAGCCACGGAAAGTTTCATAAATAAAACAATTAATGAATTGTGTAAGTCTTTCAGGGCCATCGTTCAGCATATCATTGTCTTTCGGGCTGTTCGGCCGATGTGAGCGAAGAATTAGATTAATTCTTCGAGCAATCGAGGAGTTAACATCTCCTGATGATGCCGTCCACACGTGATGGCGAAACGTCGAGAACCTCTTCTCGCTCACATCGACCGAACAGCCCGAAAGACAATATGTTGGCTTAATCAGTTATAAACGGGTCAAACAATCCAGATCTTTTTTTTATCGGTTCTTTGCGTTCGAACGAACGTCACATGTTTCGAGTGAAAGTGAATTTTGACTTGCGATTCGATTTTGTCCATTCGTAACGCCTTTTTCACTCAGTACTGGCTTTTGCCACTTGCTCTGTCCTTTGTGTGTTAAATACGCGTGTTTGGATAATAAGTGGCAGAAGTAAAGTGATGCGATTCATAGAACTAAACTCATTTCTCGCTGAGTACTAAAGGCAATAATAATAATGTTTAGAGGGCTTTATATTTGTTAAACGTTTGTTCCCTAAATCAGTAAGAGTTTTTATATACCTTTACAAGTTTGTAGTCAGGTGTTATGTTATGATCGTTTTACCCTTTTAGATGCTAATGTATCGCAAATTACTTTCTTTTGGGAAAAGAGTCGACTCTGTAACAAGCGTATTCTGAGCGTATTAAATGTTTATATATTTTAATAAGAGATGGCGTTGATATCGTCTTTATCTTTCTTTTTTAGTTTATGACTAAGTAAATG